AAAAAAAAAAATAGCTTTGAACAAAGAAGACACAAACAATAGACTGCACAATTTATTGCCTGGCATATTTCGCTGTATCTCGTCAGGTGCATACTACAGTAACAAGTGAATAAATGAAGCAAATAGCTGAATCCTAAAAACTGAAACACAAATTCGAGTACATTCTACACTGTCTGTTTCACCAAGGTAACCTTAAGGAAACTACCATTTCTTTCTGCCTACAGAGATCCGGTTTTAACCGGTGGATCGCGGACGCTTCCGCGTATCTGAGTAATCTACGGTTGGCCGATGTGTAAATAATTCGAAATGCATCATCCCTGTTAATGATGTGCCCGGAATTTAGAATGTGGCACGCAATTGCTGATGATGGATTTTGTCGACCAGTCACCTGATTCGTTGTTGTTGAGGTGTTAGTGTTTTGCATTGCTTTTACCAACCATAGTGGAATATGTTCAGCAACCCGTTTCTCCAGTCGTCGATCGGTTCTGCCCACATATGCAGCGTTACAGGTGCATTTAAATTGGTATAAACAGTACGTACGCCAGATCTAACTGTTTATACCAATTTAAATGCACCTGTAACGCTGCATATGTGGGCAGAACCGATCGACGACTGGAGAAACGGGTTGCTGAACATATTCCACTATGGTTGGTAAAAGCAATGCAAAACACTAACACCTCAACAACAACGAATCAGGTGACTGGTCGACAAAATCCATCATCAGCAATTGCGTGCCACATTCTAAATTCCGGGCACATCATTAACAGGGATGATGCATTTCGAATTATTTACACATCGGCCAACCGTAGATTACTCAGATACGCGGAAGCGTCCGCGATCCACCGGTTAAAACCGGATCTCTGTAGGCAGAAAGAAATGGTAGTTTCCTTAAGGTTACCTTGGTGAAACAGACAGTGTAGAATGTACTCGAATTTGTGTTTCAGTTTTTAGGATTCAGCTATTTGCTTCATTTATTCACTTGTTACTGTAGTATGCACCTGACGAGATACAGCGAAATATGCCAGGCAATAAATTGTGCAGTCTATTGTTTGTGTCTTCTTTGTTCAAATTCACATCGGGGAAACATTGCTTTAAAAATAGCTTTCCAGATTGAAAGGGAGAAAAATGATTAAAAGCGGTGAACAAGTTTTTAAAAAGCTATTTATGTCCCTTTATAAAATGCAGCGTCATATTTAGCAAGACGCTTTGAAAATCGCTTCTTCTACTGCTTTGTTTTACATGCTAAACACAGCCCTGTCTGATATCATATTATATTGCAAAAGATTTCTGAATAATGTCCGAAGTGAATCTGCATTTTCATATGGTGCTTCTTTAAAGCAATATTAATTATGAAATAATTTTAAATAACCAGGCATCCCCTTGTCAGATGCAATTTTTCTTATTTTGAAGCCTCTCCCTGGCTCTTGCTAGGGGCCGCAATATAGCCTGGTCGTAAATATGGTCTAATGGCTGAACGCGGTTTTCTGGACCTCTCCAAGGGTGATCCTCATCCACATGGTGGTACTGTGTGTCATCGGGTGTTTATCGTTGTGTGATGTCCTAATGGGGTAAAATGTACTACTACTACAAAGGAAATAATTTTGTCCCATCAATTTTTAGACTTCGGACTGGACACTGTGGTCTTCGAGCACACCTGTACAGGATAGGCATAAAAGAATCTGCTGCCTGTGATTGTGGAGCAGAAAGACAGACCCCGGAGCACATACTGCAGTACTGCCCTTACCTCTCCCAGCAAAGACTGTGGATCTGGCCCAGGGGATCCACATTGCGAGAGAAGCTATGGGACACCGGTGGCGACCTTAAACTCACAATCCTATTTTTGACCCAGACGGGACTCAATGTGTAGCATGACTGATGTCGAACGCAGAAGAAGAAGAACAGGCAGCGCTGTTAGGCTACTCTTTTTCCATTGCCAACAGCGCAACATTACATGCTTAACAATACACACGGGTGTCTGTTCTTTTACCAGAGACTGGGGAAATTACTAAAGTCCACGTGAAAAGTCCCGAACCCGGTTTCGAACCCAGGGACCTTCAGTATTTGAGGCGGATGCAATACCTCGAGACCACCCAGCCCCCCCCCCCTGTTTATATTATCATCAGCATCATCATTTTGACTGTCGTTGTCCGTCACAAAGGCTCGCAGTTTATTCTACCATTCCGTTGTGTCGTTCATATACCAATCACAGTTTAAAGCGAGGCTTTACAACGTCTGTCTTAAATAGAACTCACCATATGCTTGACAGACCCGTTGACAATACGGCTGAGTGAAGTCCAACTGATAACAAGAACTGAATTAACTAAATACACAATACGACGTGTAAATTTTCATCACGCTGAGAACCCTTGTTAAAGTCTGTTTTGTGAATACGTCTCAGGAAAGACATAAGACGGTCTTAACAATTCACACATCCGTTATAACCAACTTCACATGGGAACAGTCGACAGTGGTATGCTATGGTTGTTGTTGCATGGTATGGAAATGTCATTTTGCAGTGGCGTCGATTGTGATAACATAACAGGAGGAACTGAACGGTCACTACTATCTGTTTTGGTTCTTTCGTAATATCCTACCCCAGATGGCGTCACATGACAGTCCAGCATTTAAGAGGGTGGTAAGACTGGGTTTCCTGGCTTTCTGACGCTTTTAACGACCCCAAAACATCTAGAACTGGTCAAATCCCTACCCACCTACGTGCCTAAGGTCTCACGATTGCATGCAGCCTAGGTCCCACGACTGCATGCAGCCTAGGTCCCACGACTGCATGCAGCCTAGGTCCCACGACAGCATGCAGCCTATTTACCACCCCCTTAAATATTATACTGTCCACCCAGTATGCATGTCAAACAGGACCACAAACACGTGAGCACATTCTGCAGACGTGCCCACTCTATCTACAACTTCAAAAAGACACCTGGACTCGAGAGCAAACTGTACAGAGCAAGCTATGGGGAACTATGAAGGGCCTGCAACTGACATGCGAGTTCATAGAGGCAACCCACCTATTGGTATGATCCGAGCATACGAAACCGAACGCAAAAAAGAGGAAGAAGAAGAAGAAGAAGAAGAAGAAGAAGAAGAAGAAGAAGAAGAAGAAGAAGAAGAAGAAGAAGAAGAAGAAGAAGAAGAAGAAGAAGAAGAAGAAGAAGAAGAAGAAGAAGAAGAAGAAGAAGAAGAAGAAGAAGAAAAAGAAGAAGAAGAAGAAGAAGAAGAAGAAATCCTGGTCTCCAGCATGTCTTCAGTAAACCAGTGTCAAGGAGCCGCGATAGAACAGTAGCCAAAAGCTTGCCTCTCGGCCGAATTGTCCTGAGATCGTATTTGCATTATGACGTATTTTGAAAGAGGAAAAAAAAAACATTTGACTATGGCTTCCATGACCCAGGTCTTTTCAGACAGGCTTATTCAAGCACAAAGCGCTTAGAAACGCCAGCTGAGCGAGATCCAAACCGTTTACACATTTGTTTCGCAGTTGAGTAAGGACTGTCATATAACATTCCTAATATTCTTAGCACAGCAACTGCTTCTACAGTAACAAGTGAAAAGTTATCTTTTTCATTGTGGAATTTGGAATGTGTATTCATATTCACAGCTGGTCCTAATAACAACAGCCCGACACAGTTTGATGAGAAAGGGGCAGACATGCTCCGTGCAGTGTGGCAAGCATCGTTTCAAAGGTCCCTAGTGGTTAACGTCCTTTGGGTATCCCCCCCCCCCTCCCGACCAAGTATGCATGTGTGCTGGGAAACGAACAGTCAGGCATTCTGGTTGGTTCTGCACACGTCCGGCTGTATGTCTGGAGCTGGCCGTGGTTCTGCACTACTTGGTGGTAAACTGATGTAGGACAATCTAGCAGTTTTCAAAGCCCTTTGGGGCGAGCGAAAGTGAAAAGTGCAGTGTGGAAGCAGGTATAGATCATGTCAGTCCGGAGAAAATGGCGCAGCGGGGAGTGACCAGGAGATCCAGTCGACACTCAACATTCAGAGCTGATGAGTTGTAATTCTCGTTTAGGTTAATATTTTTTTTTTAACAAGCTGAGGAAAGGCATGGCATACATAAGATCAAACTGCGACTAGTTCCATCGGAACTGGAAATATGTACTGGTTGCTGAAGATGAGGGAAGGAGCGCTTATGGGAATATCCGTAGGGCTGTGTTGGGGGTTCCAAACCCAGCTTAACCCAATAGACTGTGTTAAGCCTATTAGCTTTTGGATGGGACGCTCATATACTTTTTCAAACGCTCTTAGTACAAGCCGACATGCTCTTTGTCAATCACACAGATAAATGGGACGGGTCGTATCTGCAGCTATAAAGCTCAAGGGCTCGGAATGCTGGGGGAGGAGGGGGGGGGGGAGGGGGGGTAGAACACGGTATACCGCCACATTCACCTCCTTTTGTGTGTGTGGGAAATGTTTTTCCCTATCTTGAACTTTTTTTCTCTTCTTTTAATATCAATTCACATCTAATCATCATCATCAATAATCATGTAGTAGGTCCTTTGCAGAACGTCGCTCTCATCTTCTTCTTTGTCGATGGCACTTTCATAATCTTTCTATAGTATTTCAGCTCAGAAGCCCTTATTTTCTGCCTTCAGGACTGGTATATAGACCATGACTCGCATTCATATGCTGCTACAGGGAAGATGCATGCTCTCACAATTTAAATTTTGATTTCTTTGCTGGTGTTTAACCATAGACCTTTAATGCGGGGTAATCCTTGTATCGCTATGATCATCCTCCTTTTGACTTTTGTTGAACAGTTTTCTATTGCTGTTTATAATGGAGCCTAGATATTTAAGGTTTCAGTCCACGTCTTTCAATGTACAAAACGTCATTTCATGTGACCCAGACAATTGCGCATGCGTCATAAATCATCTGCCTACATCCGATACATAATGTCTCCCAACAAGTAAAACAGTACTAAGTTTCAAGTCGTCATACCGCTCTACCTTGCTTGTAACAAGTATTTATTGGAATATTACCATGTCTGATTTTGAATCAAACCCTTTCGCTGATCCACGTAATCAGCAAAGTCCCTTTTCGGTAAGCATTTTTGTGTTAATGGTCGTTGACTGTTTACTTCTATTCCGATCGTTCTGACTAACGACGGTGGATTTCTCATCATCTGACTCGTCGGTTGTAAATGACACTTAGTGTCACACTAAATATAATTGTTGGGGTAGTCTTGCCGCTGCACAATCTCTCTTACTTCGAAGGCTGAAGTTCGTTATGTAGTCATATTATTTTAGATTTTTTTTTATTTTGGTTAAAAACTTTTACAGTTCACTATAATGAATCTTCTCTTGCAAAGCTAGCCTAAGACTAGTACTTACCATACACTGGGAGTGGTGGAGCAGGAACAGGAATAGAGCTGATGAACTTAGGTGAACCCTGGGTGATGGATGCCCATTGCCCAAACAGTGATAGCAAATCAGGCTCTCCTCCAAACTTCTACTCCCGCATTATGTTATGGCGGCCTGAAATATCCTTCCAGGGCTCAGTCCAATTACAAATGTGCAAACTTCCGGCGAGGAACGAATCGCGGCAAAACTAGGATCGGCTCTGTATAGTGAAACAAATGCTCTAACAGGGTCTCAGCGATTTGTTAATTGCGGACCTGTTTCATATTGTTTCTGATTACCTGACAAATGTTAAGAGACGCAACACTGCAGACGATAGTAGCAGACGATAATAGCGACCGTTGACACTTTCAGTGTTTCTGCAGACGATAAAAGCGACATGGCGGGGAGACCATGTGCGCTGATGCAGATTAGCGTCATTGTTGTCCTCAAACTTTTCGACATGCGCAAAACGCGGTTACACTTACCGCCGATAGTATCCCCCCCACGCCGCTACACGCGGCGTGGATGGGGGGCTAAACTAGATGCCTGGGATTCACGAGCAAAGTAATTGGAGGAAGTTGCAGGAGATGCGGTAGCTACTGCTCTTGAGTCCCAGCCATCTAGTTTAGCCCCCCATCTGTGCCGCGCGTAGTGGCGTGGGGGATAATGGTCGGCGGTGAGGCATAGTCACAGAAACAGGTCCGCAATTAACATATCCCTGAGACCCTGTTAGAGCATTTGTTTTGTTATACGGAGCCGATCCTAGTTTTGCCGCGATTCGTTCGTCGCCGGAAGTTCACATATTTTTAATAGCACTGAGCCCAGTACGGATATTTTTTGGCGCCTTAATGCGGGGGTAGAAGTTCAGAGGAGAGCCGCAAATCATATAACTTTTCCAAATTAAAATGAAACTTCGGTTGAACACCATCGACTAAAATTAAAAATTATGTCACTCCTTCGAATGCCACCCTAGGGGACACAATCTATTATAAGTTGACATTACTTTAAGTGCTGACCCTAGGGGACGTAATCTATTTTTGTGTAAGTTCCCATAATAATAACATTCTTTCATGTTTAATATAATTTGAGATTAGGGTTAGTGTTATGGCTAACCAGCTATCCTCCGAATAACTGTCCTAAATTATCGAGGCGGAAAATACACCTTAACAGGGCCTCAGTCACGTGTCAATTGCGCACTTCTATCGTCTTAAATTGCACGCTTCCGGCGACTTCCGCCACCGCTAAACTAGATGGCTGGGACTCACGAGCAGCAGCTATTGCATCTCCTGCAGCTTCTTTCATTTTATTTGCCCGTGAGTCCTAGCCATCTAGTTTAGCCTCAATCCACGCAGTGGTGGTGGAAGTTGGCAAGTCGGCGGTGGCGTTATAATCCCCGGAAGTGCGCAAATGACACGTGACTGAGGCCCTGTTAGGGTATATTTTCCCGATTCGATAATTTAGGACCGTTACAAACAGTAGATTTTGTCCCTTATAGTCACCGTAAACACACAATAGATTGCGTCCCCTGGGGTCACCATTCGAAGAATTGCTAAAATGATCCCCCATAGTACTTCATTCAAGTGTTTACATAGATTTTGAACATGAGTATAAAGTGTTCTGAGAGAAGCTTCCAAACAACACAGATTTATATTACTGTTATTAGAGATCCCAATGAATGAACGAAAGGCCGGGTAGATAAGTATATTAGTATACGACCTACACAAGTTTCGATTAGCTAAGACCATATTGATATTGTCTATGAAAAACACACACAGTATGGGGCACATCATTATCGATATTTGGAATAGACTTTTAATGCTGTTTAATCCTTGTTTCTCCATGACCGTCCTCCTTTTGACTTTTGTTGAACAGTTCTCCATTGCTGTGTATTATAGAGCCTAGATATTAAAGGTTTAGTCTCAGGTTTGATTAAAAAAAATTTTTTTTTCAGTTGATCTAGAAATATAATCCATTTAATTAAAATATTTGATAGAGAGGACAGGTAAGTGATTATTGTCTGCTTGAGACCAGGCATATGACAAAGATAAATGTTATTAATTAAGCAGAAAATGTTAACAGCACTAGCCTGCTTTCACATTTTCTCTGCTATAGATTTTATAAGGAAAGTCGCTGTTTCGGATCGGCAGGTCGTGTGTCCGCTTCCTGGCGGAGCCAGACTTTTTTCAAAAATGACCTTACCTCCCAGGTATACCCAGCCTCGAGTGCGTAGCAGGTGCAGTCTTGGGAAGTAAAGGCTGCTGGCGTGATGCTGACTACATCACATATCTTGTGCTATTGGTCTATAAAATATAGGTCTAGTCCTATACACCCTATATGCCTGAAAGGCTTGGAGAAGGATTTGTAACTCTTTTTTTTTTTTTTAATAGATTTTATAAGAGTGTTACGTCATTTAATGAAGCAGAAATGTTTTTTTCTCTTTATTTCAAATTGTGAGTCAAGTTTTTTTTAGGATAAAAGTTTTTATTATTCTTAAAGCAGTTTTTCAGAAATACTTTAGAGAATTTGCTAGAAGTAATTTAGAAGAGTAATCACTGGTACTCACATAAATGTATCCTGAAAAGATATCAAAGTAAACTAAAAGCTTCACATTATCACAGACACAAATGTCAAATAAACATCCAGCTAGAAAAAGTTTTCATCGGCACATGACAGTGTTACGTTTACAGACAGAGAATACAGGAAATCCCCTAGCTGATATCTCTCCAAGAAAAATCCCCATGTCTATACCTGAAATGAATACTAAACTGAGATGTGGAAGGCAAGGGCCATAAAAAAAATATTTGATAAAGCTGTGTTGGACATTAAGTCCCTTAGGTGAGGGACCCCATTAGATAGAAAAGGTGATTCTGTAGAGTGCAAGGAAATTCACCACATAAATATATGCTAGGAAATCCTAAGGATCATGTTTATGAAGAAGAAATAAAAAATTAGCTCATGAGTGAGTATGCAGCATACTGTTCTGTATGTTAACTCTTTCATTACCAGGGGTTGTTCTGTTTAAGCCAGTTTTTTTTAACCTAAGTAATCTGATTTGAGGTAAAAAAAGAAAATGGGTATTGAAATAGCTTGTTTCAGTTTAGCTGGTTGACTGTCTGGAAGCGTTGATGGCAAAAGAACAAGGGGCAAGGCAAAATGATAACTACCTCAGGTAGCTTGACCATATGGATGGAGCAAGACAAGGACACTGACCTGATCTATTTTTCTGGTGATGTGTGAGATAGCGAAACATGACCACCTATGCTTATCAGCAGGGCACATGATAATGATGATGATTGTCTAGTTAGCAAACTCCTGAGCATAGGATGATACTAATGAAGCCTGCAGTCTGTCGGTGATAATTCAGTTGCTGAGAGTTTACACAGTTATACATGTTAACTAGCAACTCAGTATATTATATTTGTGGACCAGAGCAAGTTATTATTCTATGCCTTAGAACAGGACACAATCGACTCCGCAGCAACATGCACACAAAATTTAAAATCAGCGAATCAGATATGTGCACATGTGGATTGGCACCTGAAACAACAGATACTGTCTTCCAAGACTGTCCCAAATACAACATATCAAGGCAAAACCTTTGGCCAAGAGAAACATCACTGCAAGTCCAAATTTACGGGTTGCTGAGTGAATTACAAAAGACAGTGAAGTTCATACTAGAGACAACGTTGCAGATATAGATAATTTATTTCAAGCGAATGAAAGAAGAAAAAGAAGAAGATATCATATTTATGACTAAGAAAATAAAGCACTAAAGTGATACATGGAACCTTGTATAATATTCTACTGTACATTATTAGAAAATAATGTAAGAACATTTCTTATACCAAGAAATAAAATTCCATTTAATCATGGTCAAAGGTTGACATTGCTGCTTTAAACAGGAGAGACCTCAGATATGTGATTTTTGTGTATTCTTTTTTTTGTAAATTTAACACTGTCTATTCACCTTGTGTGCTGAAAAAGGTTTTTGAATAGCCGATTACTCATAATGTCATATTTATGAATATTAGAAAATAGTGCACTAAACTAATACAGGAAAACTAGCATAATATTATTCTATTAATGATTACAAATTTAATGTGAGAAATCTGTTTAACTAAGAAATAAAAATCAATTAATCATGGGCAAGTGTTGTAATTTCTGCTGTAAACAGCTAGCACTCCTCTTATAGCATAAGACAGTCCCATTCCGCACAAAGAAGCATCTCATATGAAGCATATTCATTCCAACGTAATGCTACCAGGGCCAAACAAGGTCCCTCACAACAAACCAGAAAAGAAAATTATAACCATGGAAATGAGATGTCTAGGAAGGGCTGCAGGAATGACCAGAAGAGATAAAATCAGGAAAGAGGTCATAAGAGATCAAGTAGGCAAAGAACCAATACTAGATTACATACAAAGACAGCAAATCAAAGTTTGCCCACTTAGAAAGAACACCTTGTTATGCCATACTTTACAAGACATTCACCAAATGAGAAAGAAGGCATACATTACAAGGTAGACCAAGAACAATATGGAAAGATAACATCAGAGAAACTCTACAACAGCACACATTGTCTATGGTTGGGGCGGCCAAAAGAGCAAGAAGCAGAACTTTAGGACTCCCTCGAAACCTGAAGTGGTACAAGAGGAAGTGAAGAAGAAGGGTCATTTAGTGTGATTTCTTCAACCTTGTTTAACAGATAGCATGTTAAAGTACTATTTCTAGTAAATAATTTTTGAATATTATGATTTAATATAGTTTTAACTAGTATTGAAACATTTAGGTTGAAGTTATTAGAAGTGTTTGCAAAGTATGCTTATTCATCATCATGTAGCAGGTCCTTTGCAGAACGTTGCTCTCATCACGGTCTGCCTGAAAGAAACTCAGTCTCTCGCCAGCTTTCCCGCCTCATGCACTTTCATACTCAAGGAGTTACTTATATCCTGTGCCCATCTTTGTGTTGGTCGGCCCCTGCCCCTCCTTCCTGGTACCATGCCTTCTGCTATAATTTTTTCCAATCCGTGGTGGCACTTGATATGACCAAAATGTTTCAGCTTCTGAGACAGGATGCTGTTTATTAGCCAATCTTCCTGGATGTTCAGATCTTTCAAGATGCTTATTACACACTTATACTATTAATCTTGTCTCTCATTATTGAATTATCTTCACTGTGCAGGATTCTTCTGTGCAGCAAGCAGCTAGATCAGGAGGACAACAGGGAAATTTAGATGACTTCAATCCTTTTGCAGGTGGCACTCAGACTCAACCTGCTTACCAGGTATGAATTAGATTCATATATCCATTTCATTGTTATTGGAGTTATCATATTCACTTGTAGTTTTGTATAAATCTCAACCGCTAAATTTCAACTGATGAAGATAATCCAGTAGAGGACTCGGACACTGAAAAACTACAGTTCCATCAAGAACTATCCGACTACCAGTAGCTAATAAATAGTGGCTGACTACAGTGCACACTAATTTAATAATAAGTATCAGACAAAACACTGAAAGATCTTCTTCAATTCCTCTTAGCACTTCTGGTTTTGAGGGAGACACGAGATTCTGCTTCTTGCTTTTCTGACCTTTTTGACCCTAGACCCATTATACTTTTGTAGAGTTTCTCTGATGTTGTGTGTCCATCTTGTTACTCTGAGATCAGTGGTTCTTTTTGTTTGATTGCTAACCATCGCTAAAGATGACCATATTTTCATCTGTCATTGTCAGTCTGAGCATGTGCTTGTATAAGAGTGAGTAGGGCAGTTAAAGCCCACTTAATGTTCAGGTCTACATCAAGCAAAAAGCAAGTCTCATGGTTTCATATCTGATAAATGTTTTAATTAAACATGTAAGCTTTAATGGGGACATTGAGATATGGGGAGACCAGCCATGGATTTACCAAGTTGTCTTTAAACAAGGCCCTTGAAAAAAAAACCACTTACAGAAGCCATAAAGATGCAGCTGTAAATGTGTAAGCAGGTCCTCTAATTTAGTTTGCATAGTTGTTGCTACTGTGTTTCATTATCTTTACTTCTTGTGATAATGTGAGATCCGCAGCTTTGTATTGTACAAAGTTGAAGGGAGGGGAGGACATGTAGACAACATCTGAGGTTAAAAAACTAGGCTCATATAAAGCAATGAGCCTGAGTATGCTGTCCCTTTTGTACATACCACCCTAAATCCCACCCCCCCCCCCACACACACACGCACGCACTTGCCCGCGTACACGCACACTATATATATATATATATATATATATATATATATATATATATATATATATATACGCACACAAAACCTCCAAGCCAATATGTTGGATAGCCAGGCTTACTCTGACAGCGATTAGCCCCCCCCCCCCCTCCCTTTTCCCCCACCCAATATGTAAACTGAAAGTATATAGTTCTATTGCCTAGCTATTAAGATTAGTGTATGACAGGACAGTGTGAGCAGATTGCAGCGGCATTTTCCTGCAGGTAAATTGCATTAGTAAAATCATACAACAGCCTATACATTCTTTAGTTAGTTTTGGACATCCTGAAGAGGACGAGCAACCACTTTTTTTTTCAACATTCACATACATAATAGAATGTAGACATTGTTGTAAATGTGAACATGGGCTGGAATATGTATAGTTACTTAGCTTATGTTGTTTACATTTTGTGCATTTTGTTTGTTTGTAGGGTGCTGGGGGTGTTCCTCCTCCACGATCGGCCCAGGCTCAGCCTGCAATTATGACTCCGTCTGATGCTCCCCCACCATACTCACAGACCGGTGCTCAGAAAGTGGACACAAGTGAACTGCAGAGAAGACAAGAGGTTAGAAGTTTTATATTTTCTCAACATTTGGGTATATCTGATCTTGTGTAAATCTGCATGTGTATAATTCCGTGTTGAGATTTTTCTAGAGAAACGTGTATGTTATTTATTGTTTAACATTCCTTATTTTTTTTATGACATAGTTGTTGTTTTTACTGTGGCATTCATTATTTTTTCTACATTAAAAGCACGCATTTGATAATGTGCTTTGTTGTAAGCTTTAATAGCAGTCAATATTTTGTTCACATTAATTATAGTATTTGTTGACATGCATGCAAATTTATTTTTAATAGTTATACAAATTACCACCATTTCTTACCATAAAATTATACAAATTATCCACAGATTCAGTATTTTTTTAACAGTTACGCCTGGAATAATTTATAAGTATTAGAATCACAGAACGGATTTTGTGAGTGTGTGTGTGTGTGTGTCTGCGTTTGTCTGCGTGCATGCATGTGTAAATATCACTGACCTGTGGACTCCTGGGAGTCAGCTGACCACCAGTTAGGAAAGACTTTATGCATATTGGCTTGGACACTAGACACTGTGTATCCAGTATGCCTCAAGGCATGAAAAAGAATCCTTTAACTACATATTTTGTGAGTCTGGGTTGACCAGGACAGGACCATGCTGTGATGAAATAATATTGTTTTATTTGAGACTTGAACTTGGGACCACCAGTCAGGTAGGCAAGTATGCTACCAAGGCAAACCTTTTTTTTTCAATCGTTTCTGTGACTGCTACCCATTGGGATCTCATTTGTTGTTAGGACATTCATAAATATTTTTTGTTGTTGCATTGTTTCAAGTGATTTTTACAAACAGTATGCTTCTTATTAGTCAGATAAGCTTGTGGATAAAGATAAGATTGTCTTCACAGACATTGGAGAGGTCAGTTGCAACATTCTTCTCATACCTTACCCTCTACACCTTTTCTTAAAGGCTTACCCTCCTGCCAAGTGTGCATTATGTCCCCTTGCTAGATGTTCTGACAGCAAATGCTTTCCCTATCCTGATCTTTCATTTTTGTCAATATTAACATTTCTTGTGAACCAAATTCCTACCAGTTTCAGTGATAAAGGTCACAGTTCCATGACATGAGTCGCCCAATATATATTGTTTTTGGATCTCTGTGAATGTATTCCATTTAATTCTTCACTCTGTTTATGTTTACCCATAACACCCATTATATTTTTGTGTATATTGTGAAGAAATTTAAATAAGTACATTTTTGGAAAATTTACTAGTGACGTGTAAAATGATGTCGTTGGAAGGAGCGGGGGTGTCACATACTCATGGCCCATTTATTGTATTATTCCTGTGGTGACATTGTGAACTATATATTAGAAATAAAGAGTTGAAGAATTAACTAATTTATAAGAATAGTAGAATTATTGGGTTGAAAAGGGCAGATTTGGCATCCTTGCTGAAAACCACAAAGCACCATACCAACCACCATTTTAAAGGAGCAGGCAGGAGAATAGGACATTGATCGGTATAATTAGGCTGTCCTGACTTTTGGACTTGCCTTGTATCATTCCTTGTTCCCAGATTTACTTTTAGCCTATCCCCGGCTTTTTGTGTTTATTGACATTAGGTAGCTAAAATGATAGATGTGGTTATTGTGTAATTTACTACAAGACCCTTTTTTTCATGGATTTTGTTATATTTTTAGCAGTACATAGATGTATGTGTTCCTATAGTTGTATGAACATCTTATTTAATTTATGCAATAATTTGTTTATTTTTAAGTGAATTTACATGAGAAAAGTTTGATTCTTGTTTTGTTATGTAATAAGGATACTTTCTGCCAACCACGTATATTATAGAATGAATCAGCAGTGAATTTTATTAAATAATAATATTTGTAATAGCATATTTTTTTTTGTAGCTATAATTGTGTTAATCGTAAACATATTTAATTCAGAATCAGTAGAACTGATTTCATAAGGTCTCTGGTCAGATAACCACTAACAAATTTATCTGCTTGAGAAAATAGTTTAAACTAAAATGAGGTCATTTTTGCTTGTTCCCAAAGGGCCTTGACCACATCTGCCTTGTCATGTATCAATTCACCACCCAGTGGTGCAGATCCAGCCAATATGTCTGCCTGTTCATTAACCGCAGAAGTGAGGAAATGAAAGAGCAGATTTGTTGGCTACAAAAGGGATATCTATAAGAACACTCGCACTAGACAAAGGAGGCATTCTGAAAACTTATTATGAATGATTCATCATCATTATCAGGTGCCTTGCCGACTGGCGTGGGCGATCATGCCTCTCCACAATCTGCGATCTCCTGCAGCATATATCAGTTCATGTGCCGACACACCTCCATGCCATGCAACAAGACTGTCAAGAATCTTCTCTGTTTGTCTTCCTCTATCCCTTCTTCCACAGATCTTTCCAGTGGTCACAACATGTTCTATTTTCCCTCTTCTCATAACATGGTCAAAAAATGATGACTGTCTCCTTCTGATGTCTGTGATAAGTTGTCTTCAGGCTACCGCCTCTTTCAAAACCTCTTGGTTGCTCTTTTTGACTGTCCAAGGTATTCTAAGCATTCTTCTGTAAAACCACATCTCTGAGGCCTGAAGAAATTGTTTGGCCTGCCTACCGATTGTCCAGAATTCACAGCCATGTGTTAAAACTGGATGTATGTAGCAAGCAAGAATTCTTGTTTCAACTCTCAATGACAAGGATCATGAATGATTAGTGATAGAAAACACAAAGTTAGATGAAATAATGTGTGTAAGAAAGGAATGATTAGTGATAGAAAACACAAGGTTAGATGAAATAATATGTGTAAGAAATGAATGATTAGTGATAGAAAAAACAAGGTTACATGAAATAATATGTGTAAGAAATGAATGATTAGTGATAGAAAACACAAGGTTACATGAAATAATATGTGTAAGAAATTTTCAGTATGTAGTAATTGGTAAGGAGTGACATATGAGAGGAAAAGAATCACATGTGTATAATCAGTCTGTTATGGAAACAGTTAGCATCAACACCTTAAGAAGACATGTGCTATGTGAGACAGAGAATTTATGGGTATGCCCGGTGTGCTATGTGAGACAGAGAATTTATGGGTATGCCCGGTGTGCTATGTGAGACAGAGAATTTATGGGTATGCCCGGTGTGCTATGTGAGACAGAGAATTTATGGGTATGCCCGTTGTGCTATGTGAGACAGAGAATTTCTGGGGATGCCCGGTGTGCTATGTGAGACAGAGAATTTATGGGGATGCCCGGTGTGCTATGTGAGACAGAGAATTTCTGGGTATGCCCGGTGTGCTATGTGAGACAGAGAATTTATGGGTATGCCCGGTGTGCTATGTGAGACAGAGAATTTATGGGTATGCCCGGTGTGCTATGTGAGACAGAGAATTTATGGGTATGCCCGGTGTGCTATGTGAGACAGAGAATTTATGGGTATGCCCGGTGTGCTATGTGAGACAGAGAATTTATGGGTATGCCCGGTGTGCTATGTGAGACAGAGAATTTATGGGTATGCCCGGTGTGCTATGTGAGACAGAGAATTTCTGGGTATGTCAGGTGTGCTATGTGGGACAGAGAATTTATGGGGATGCCCCGTGTGCTATGTGAGACAGAGAATTTATGGGGATGCCCGGTGTGCTATGTGAGACAGAGAATTTATGGGTATGCCTGGTGTGCTATGTGAGACAGAGAATTTATGGGTATGCCCGGTGTGCTATGATATTGATTCTGAAATTAGTAATCAAATAATTAACCCATTTGAAAAGATTATATGTTTCATAAAAATGATGGTAAGCCAAGCGTACACAAAATATGGAATATTCATAACTAAATAAAAGCTTACTACATGACAAGGTGATATTATCTGTTCATTTCTGGGAAGGCTAACCCAGGCAGCAGATGCCTGCAGAAGTCAGATGCGTCTACCGAAGGCATAAGTATTGCAGCTATTTTGTAAACAGTCACAGCATATTTACATTTTCGGATGTGCGAAGAAGAAGGAGAAAAAGTGTGTTCAATTTGTCAGTGGCTTAGGGGGGGGTCAGCGTAGGCTAGTACAATTGATACCAGAATTGTCTCAGGCAAGACTGTAGGCTGGACATCTCATCCTATAGAGCTGTGATATGAGAACCTGCTTCAACTGTATCTGACATGTAATTATGTTTTTTGTATGTCCACAGGAACTAGAGAGAAAAGCTGCAGAATTACAGCGGAAGGAACAAGAGATGAAAAGCGCACCATATGCAGGAAGTAGGTTACTTATTATGTGTAACTGACAATATAATTAACTTGTAGAAATAAGAGAACACAGCACAAAATATTACTAGGAGGCTGAATGTTGCTGTTGCAATAGAACTTACCACTTCTCAGTGTTAGTACTTTCTCTGCCTCTTTAGATTATCATTTGATGTTAATTAAAATCTCCCCCTGCCTTTGTTGTTTGTATTTACACCCTTTTTTTTAAATAGTGTTAATTATTAAATGCATGACTTTTCTTAACACAGGCAGGTCTTGCTAGTCACACTCTCCATCACCATAGTCTATGAGTCCCATGCCTCCTCATCACACAATATAACACTATCATCTATAAAGATGGAAAGGTGCTGGTCAGTCAGTCATCAGTATAATATGCATGTTAGACATGAACAATAAGCAGACAGGGAGCCCCATTGTCGATAGGAGACTCACTGTCAAACTCAGCTGCGCTTTGCTGCAGCCCATGACCAATGTTCAAAACCCAGCCTCTAGGTAATGGGTACCAGAGTTAACACTCTGGGGTAAACAGGAATGTCGCTGTAGCTACAGAGTTGCATGCGGACAGCGACACAGGTGGACAGTTTCTTATCAGCTATCCGTACTGGTGGCAGAGCACTTATGGTTTAAAACCGTGTTAGTGACGCTGGTTCACATCTCCCGACTTTACCTTTTAATAAGCAGACAAGCTGAAAAACCTTTTACTCGTGGCAGAGATGTGGGTTTTGAGAAGAAGGCAAAGAATATAATGGAGGGATAAAAAACAACCAAGAAGTCAGATGAAAGAAGTAAACTTGGAATAATTAGATATAGACTGTCAGTGTTTTTGGAGACATGTTATGAGAAGAAATGGACTTGAGAACTTGATAACAACTGGCAAGTTTGATGTACAGAGAGAAAGATGAAGGCAACAGTCTTCTTTATGGTAGTGAAACTTGATCAACTTAATCACAACAGGAGAAAGGGCTAAATAGCTTTTACATGTGATACCTGGGAAGCCTACTTTGCATTAAATGGCAAGATAAGTCACAGATACTGAGTGCACAAATTAACTATAGCCAAACCCCAGTTATGAAGATGGCACATTTTATTTTTTTGCTTTAAATGTACATTTACAATGACATAGTTTTTACTGTTTAAGTCATTAAAAAAGCCCCAGAGACTATTTTGTATGGAAGTAAATGATACATTCTTATTTCTGAATTCCAGAGCGTGAAAACAATTGGCCGCCATTGCCCAAGTGGTGTCCTGTGGGGTCTTGTTTTTATCAGGATTTTAGTGTGGATATACCTCTTGAATTCCAGCGCATCGTTAAGTTTGCATACATCTTGTGGGGATGTAAGTATAAGTTTGCAAACATCATGTGGTGGTGTAAGTATAAGGACACTTTTTTTAATGTGTTGTTGTTCTGGAGGAGCGGCTGGCCGAGTGGTTAGAGTGCAGGCTTTCATGTGGGAGACCCAGGTGTGATCTTCAGTAAGGGATGTCTATTTTTTTTCTGTTAGGGGCAGTAATAAAAATTCTAACCTGCATGGTTCATGATGACTGCACTAGCCATGCAACCTTTAATCCTCAGGCTCACTGCCTTCCTCTCCAATGCCATCCCGACAGTGGTCAATACAGGTAGGAAAGACAGTTGTTGTTCGTCAATCAGATGAGATAAAGACCATTATGATTCAGGGAGATTTAAAGATTTTAAAGCAGAGTTAGAGGTCAACCACGCAAGCCAAGTTTAGGGGGCTACTTGGTCTTGAGGTATGGTGTCCGTCTCGAGTGCTAGAGGTCCCGTGTTCAGGCCCCGGTGAAGGCTTGGATTTTTTTCAAGTGGGCTTCTAGTAATTTCCCCTGGTCTCTGGGTAGTGAGGTCGGGCGCCCGTGTGTGTTGTTGCGCGCGTAAAAGATCACTGGGGCAATTGGAAATAGAAAATAATAGCCTAACGGCGCTGCCCAGGCAAAATTTGAAGTTAAAAATTTACCCAAAATATTTCAGGATCCTCGGCGGTGCTACAGAGCCCGTGCACTGCGCTAAGCTACTTCAGACTCAGACTTGAGTTAGAAGTAGAACAGAGCACTTATGGGTTACTACCATTGTGCCATGATGTTGATCTGTTGTTCAAACCTCAAACGTCATACGTGGAATGTCCCAGGCTGTAAATACCAGCATCTACATAGTATTTACCAATGCTCGCACCCATTGCTTTTTCAAAACCTGATGCTGAAAAAGGCAGAACAGGACTAGAGAAAAAGGAGAGCAGTATGAAGATGACATAAGGCTGATGTGGACCTGAAATTTTGTTGGGCAGTGTTGACAGCAGATTGTAGACATGCTATATGAGCTGTTAGCAGCATTAAACTTTCTAGCTTGTCTTTGTTGCTTTGTTGGTGAGATCTCTGTTGCCTTACTGGTCCTTCAACATGATGAAGACGTGGGCAATCTATATGAATTCTCAGCAGCGGTTTCTTAAGTATGCGTGCATTTTGTGTTTATTCATCATATTCATTTTGCACTAAATGTAAAAAAAAAAATCATGCTGTTTATTTATCAATTACACTTCATATCATTTGCTTAAGCCTTGCGTTTCTTTTTGTGGAAATTTAACAGGATAAGTTTTCAGAATCTTCTCTGGCTGTGTTCTTATCTCTTTTTTTTTCCTGTTAATTTTACCAGTTCTTTTGATTTGCTTTTTTCTTGTGTGGTTAGAAATGTTGACAGCATCCTGTATTAAAAAAAATACTTTACATTACAGTATTATAAACAAATTTAAGGCGTCCATGATATGAAATTTTTTTTTAAACCTGAACTTTAGAATGCAATCCTTTCCATGAAACTAATATTTAAAAATCATAAGTTCTGTGACTATTAAAAAAGTATCGGTTCTTTGGCAGACCTTGAGAAAAAGAAGGACACCTGATTTGTTAATAAAATATTTTTCATGTATCCTGAGGTTTTCAAATTTACTAAGTACAGACTGATTTATTTGTTTATTGTGCAATGTATACAGATATGTTCTGTTGTCTGTTTTTGTGTGTGACCTTTTTTTGTATTACTGCTTATGCCCTAAAACATTTCTGAGAGAAGTTATATGAAGTTTCTTGTCTTTTGCTAGTTGCGTAGCTTGTACTAATGTCATATTTTTATTACTGTAGTATCTCTTTTACTCCCTCCACCTATCTCTTTCTTAGTTGGCCTCTTGACTTGTAGCCTGCTGTTCTCTTATAGAATGATCTAGCTGCTGGCTGATTTTGTTCCATTCTGACCAGATGGCCAAACCATTTGATTCTTTAATTCACCGGTACTGTACCAATTATTATTCTTAGTTCTTCATTGGTGGCTCTGTCTCTTCTTGTTCTCTTCTTGTTGTCTCTTGTCTCTTCCCACTGCATATCTTATACATCTCATCTCACATGTTGCAATTTTGAGTTTGTTTTTCTAGGGCTATCCAGGTCTGGCATTGATAGCACAAAGTTAGTTCAGATATGCTAACGAATAATAAATGCAAGGCCATTGAAGAAGTAAACAATATTTAGAAATAATACTTATCTGTTCATAAAGTTTCAGAATAACGTAATGCTAGAATAAAAATATTTCTTATACTTGTATTGGTTTTATACCATTACATTTACCATAAATATATATATATGTATGTACATACGCACACAGTCTCCTCAATTTACGACCACATACACACGCACACACACATATAAACACACACACAAAAGTAAAGAAAAAAAGATTACTAAACTGGTAGTGACAAAATTTTCCTGCAACTAATGCAGGCGAGAACATATCATGTATGTTTTACATTATGTATAATAATTGTGAGTCCTTAGATTGAATTTCAGTGTTTTATATACAGTTTTTATAACCCATTCAAATGAAAATAGTTTGTGTGTGTGCATGTGTGTGTGTGTGTGTGTATTATATATTATACATATGTGTCTATACTTACATGAACACCATATCTGAATAGCTTTTTGCAGGTTTGGTAATTCACATACATATATTTATTATATCTTTCCTGCCATTGACATATTTCCCATTCATGTATTGTATTGATTTTTATGCCACTGTGGTCATACTTTCCATCCAAGTATGTTTTCTTTTTGTCTTTTATACCAGTTCATGTTCTAGTCCTGTTTCTCAATTTGATTGGGAGTTTGGCTTACTTCATTGTTGAAAGTGGTGGAGGAACTACATTTGGGCTGTCAATTCTGTGGTTTGTTTTGTTCTCACCATGCTCTTTTCTGTGCTGGTATCGCCCACTGTACAAAGCATTCAGGTTAGTACAGTTGATTTGTCTTCTTCATTTTTATTTTCAATTTGTTTTATTAAAATGTTTTTTTTTTTTTTTTTAATTTGTAGCAGTAGATCAGAGACTTAGAGGTTGATAAGTCATTAACTTGAAAAAAAAAATTTGAGTTTGAATCAGTTTGTTGACAGTAAATTGAAACCTAAAAAATGGTTCCCTGACGTCAGATGCATCGGTCACAGATCACAAATATGGCTTAGATGTTATTTGGAGAGAATTAAATTAATTCCATTGTATCAAGAGATGAAGAAAAGATGCTGGCATTGATAAAGAAATAAAAAAAAAAAAACTGATAATAATATAGCTAGAAATATCCTGCACTAGAACCCATAGATTAACAGAAAAAAAATAAAGGTATTCCTAAAAGACATTGAGAAGGGAATTAGAGAATACAGTGAAATGTAGTAGAAAAGAACAGTTGGGCACATGTTGGTCAAAAGGCTATGCTCCATTGTGAAATAAAGGGCGGAGGTCGAAGCTATAATGTGACACATCAGAATGTCTTTATCAAAATTAAGAAGTATGAAGAATATTTGGGGACAACCAAACATTTGCATATATCATTGTCTTAATATTCGGTGCACAATTTTTGCAAAGAACCATACAGTCTTCTCTTGCCTTTCATCTCCCATTAGAGCATAGCCTCTAGGTTGATATTCATTTTGCCTTTTATAGGCTTAGCCATGAATAACGGCAGACCAAAAATCGCATGGGGAAGGGAACTAGGGAGAAGTTAAAAGGATGGAGAGGACATGAGGTGAGCTACATGTGATAGGAGAAGATAGGGCAGCTACTTGGCGTGAGTTGTTTGAGGGCCTCTGCTTCAGTGGTAGATAAAGGGCTGAAGAGATGAGAAGAAATGTGTTTACGTTTGGTTAGATTTTGCAATTAACATTGTTTTTTGTTTCTTCTAAATGAGGTAGCCAGTCTCATGCCAACTCTCCTTAGTTGTCTCTTATGACATGCCTGATAGAATACTGTGTTACTATTGTTTGCTTACATCATGGGCCCTGGTAACACATAGATAAGAACCATTCATTAATCACACTGCTGTATCATCAGGATAAGAATATATGTTGATATCTTTCTTCAACTTTTGGCCTTTCAGTTTTTAGTGAACCAACAATTTCAATGTAGCCATTCTGTTATTTACTATCTCTTAAGGTTCTATCCATGTCCTTCTTCTGTAATTACAGTTCATTTAGAATTCAGTATTACTGAAATGAGCAAGAATGATGATTCCTTGGGTAAACCCAGTACCAGAGCAGCATGTGTTTGCTCTGCATTTATGGAAGCCTCCTTTTGGTGGGGAATGCTCGTGTTCTGCCCCTGCCTTCTCTTGAGGACTGACCAGCATTACATGGCTTCTCTAGAGGGCCTGATTTGGGGTACCACCTGTGACCTAGAAAGCAAAAGATGACCGCACAACAATGAGACTGCATTGTCCCACTAAAATTTGAAGGCTAACCCAGTCAACAAATGCCTGCAGAAATCAGATTTGTCAGCTGAAAGACGCAAATATTGCTGTAAACGGGCACAGTGCAGTTACATCTTCGGATGAGCGCTGAAGAAGATTTTAAAAAGTTTTTGCAGAATATTTCTTTTGTGTAGGCCGCATGTAGGACATGCTTGTTTTAGAGTGCAATTGATTTATGTATCCCACCAGACTTCCTGCCACTCTAACATGTGCCGTTTACATGCTTAAAGTAGGAACATCTCATTTAGTGCAGGGGATTTGGTACTACTCACAAAAGTCACCCCATCTCATCGGTCCCGAGATTTGGTAGCAGTTCCCATGGGCTATACTATGTTCCAGGCGTGTTGTGAGATGTCTTCCTTCACCGCCTATGCACAGCATGCAGAGAAGTGGCTCTGGTTTGTTTGATGTGGTCTACACACTGTCTCCCAGATAAAAGGGCTCAGCTTTCTTTTCGCAATTCTCTTTTCTGTGAATGGCCTTTGGTTCTGGAATGTGTTGTTGTAAGTAGGTCTCAGGTGCCTCAAGTACCTGTGTGCAAGAAAGAAGGACTGCAGGGGGAAGAACCAAAGGTGCGATGGTTCATGAGTATCAGGTCATTGATGTTTTTGTTTTTTAATGCTAATTAAAATGGCTGTCATCGGTAGTGGATGTGCTTAAAACATTCCGAACAAGCAACACATGACACTCCTGGACTATAGGAGGGTCCTGGAAAATCCCCTACGAAATCTTGCGGCCAAGAGGTGGGGTGACTTTTGTGAGTTGTACCGGGGATTTCCATGGCAAAGTGGTTAAGCCATTAGCCTAATTCTTAGTAGGTTAAGGCTTAGATTTCGATCCACGCTCTTTGAATCCCTAGTGCAGGTGTTTTGGATTTCCCTGGATGATGAAGCTTTAGCATGCACACATACACCTGCATATACACACATACACCCCCCCCCTCTTCTGCCCTTTTAACCCCCAACGGAGCATAGGCCCCCAACCAACTCACACCAAGTAGTTCTATCCTTTGCTGTGGCATGCAGCTCTCTCCATCTCCTCCCCATCTTTTTAACTTCACTCTGTAGCTCCCTCCATGTATTTTTTTGGTCTTAGTTTTTTTCTATGCCCCTTTGGGCTCCAGTGCAAAGACATTCTAGTTAAATTGTTCTCAGGTTTTTGCAACATGAATCCTATACAACGCCAGAGACTTTTCTTTACTTCTTGGTCCACAGGAACATATTTAGTTGTCTCCCAAAGCTCAACATTAGTGATTCTATCGTACAATTTAATTCCCTCCGTTCTGAGCTGGCACTAGTTATTGGAAATTTGTAGTTTATTGGTAATTGCCTTTGTTGTTCGCCATGTTACCGCTCCATACTGATTTGTCATTAGAATTGAACCATTTTAAGCTTGGTATTAATTTTAATTTCTTTTGACCTCAAATTCCCTAGTGCTATGAAAGCTGCTCTTGCCTTGTATATTTGTATTTTAGTACATATGCTGCTCTTGCCTTGTATATTTGTATTTTAGTACATATATCAGTTTCCCCCATCTTTATCTACATCACTGCCCAAATAGGTGTACGACTCCATGTCTTGGAGTGGGATACCATTAAGAGAAACTACATTGCTATTGCCTGCTTTATTCTCATAATCTTTATCTTTTCTTTATAGATTTTCAGATCTAGCTGTTATGATCTCGCGTCAGGTATGTTTAATTTATCTTGCATCTGATTCAGTGAGTTTGACAGAAGAGACATTTCATTAGCAAAGTCTAGATCATCAAGCTATTTTGCAGGGGTCCATTGAATTCCATTGTATTGCCAGTAAAATTTGTAGGCTACAAAAGACAAAATTATCGCACACCTGTTTTTATTCAGTTCTCTTCAGTCTCCTGGTATTTCTTCGGTCTCCCAGATTTTACTAAATAATCTATGCAGTAATTTTGTTGATATGTTTATATTGGCCTTAATAGCATCTGCTGGATACCATCTGGACCAGCCCTTTTCTTCCATAATATTTACTTGTCTTTTCTTCGACTATTTTAATTGTTTATGGTGTTATCCATGCCTTATTTTTCTTGCAAAGTTTTACACAGGATTCATTCCAGATTTTCTTGATCTGATTCCAGCAGACGTCAGTGCTTACTTTTTCAGCTAAATGCTGCAACACCTGGTACTTGATAGAGAGTGTAACTGAAAATTGTTCCTTAACTTTTTTATCCCTGAGATAACCTACATTTTACTGGTTTCAGTTATAAGATATTATATATCTTTAAAGTTTCGTTGTGATTTTACTTACCAACAGAAAATGATCATTAAATACATTGGCACTTCTGAAAGCCCTAACATCATAAAGGGATGATCTAAATGTGTTGTTTATACATATGTGATCAATTAGATTGTTTGCCTTCTGGTCTGGTGATTTTGTCACCCCCCCCCCCCCCCACACACACACATAAACACACACACACACACATGCAATCACACACACACACACACACTCTCTCTCTCTCTCTTTTTCTCTCTCTCTCTCTCTCTCTCTCTCTCTCTCTCTCTCTCTCTCTCTCTCTCTCTCTCTCTCTCTCTCTCATACAATATGTATATAGTATAGCTGGGGCCAGAAAGTTAATATTTTAAACACTTTTTTCTTTTGAAATGGTACAAATGATATCATTTTTTCCCATGCACTCTCTCCCCTCATCTGTCTCTCTCTCTCTCTTGCTATCCCCTCCCCTTTTTTCTTTTGTTCCCTCTCTTGTGACCCCTTCCCCCACCTTTTTAGTTCCTTTCCCTACTGACACCAGTATTTCTATAACATTTTTGAAAACTTGACATCTGTTTAACAGTTATCCCATTATTGTTTCATTTCAGGAGTGACAGTTCATTCAATTTCTTTGTGTTTTTCTTCATATTTTTCTTCCAATTCTGTGTCTATGTGGTCCAGAGCCTAGGATTCACTGGCTTTACAGTGTAAGTATGTGTATGATATACACACGTTTAGCATTAGATTATAACTAACACAGTAAATTCAGTGGATTGGAAATGTAGTTGAAAGTTTATTAACAGCTGGCAAACTTGTTGGGGGAAAAAAGAGCATGAGGCACACACATTGATAAATTCCAGGATGGTTTATTCCAGTACATGGAATACACAAGTAGATGTGATTCAGAAGGAATGAGTTGGTAAACAATGATCACATGTTTGTCAGAATAGCAAAGGATGCTGATTATGATCAAGAAAGTGTTAGCAACAGATTCACAGAGCATATGACTTCCTTATAATATTTATTCTTTCAGAGGGTAAAGACATAAATCATACCCAAAAAATGTGCTGTCATTAACTCAGTTAACTGACTGAAAACTCTTTACACTGCTTATTTATTCACTGTGATAACTTTAGATGTACATTCACGTGTCTCTTATTCTGGATATCTAATGGACATAATGACCTATCTTAAAAAATTGTCACCTAATTGTCTTCCTTTGTGTGTGTTTTAAAAAAAAAATAAATCTCAAAATTATTTTTATCAGCATTGTGTACCAGCACCAAACGTGGACATTAACAACAAAAGAAAACTTTGAAAAACAGATGAAATTTGTATGAAGAATCTAAGTGTAACTAGAAGAAACAGAATCAGACATGACGATGTCAGGAAAGAAATTATAACAGAACCAGCACTAAACTGTATCAATAGGCAACAGATCAAATGGTTCAGACATGTGTCAAGACTACCACCAGATAGTGCACCACCAATAGCACTGTCACTTAGACATAATGGAACTAGAGGCTGACCATGCAAGCGATGGGTAGATTGAACACCCGAGGCTGTAATTATCTGCATCTGCATGGCATATACCAAGACTTGCGACCCATGCCTCTTTGAAATCTGATGCTGAAAGGCAACCTAGAAATAGAGAATAAGAAGACAGAATCTCAAAGTAAAAAATAAATTTTTCAGTCAAGGGGATCAGCCAGGTTTTATACCTTATAATTCAGTCTCACTTTGCCAAACATCTAGCAGCTTGCCGAGAGTGCCAGACAGGGCACAAACTCTGCAGCTCCAGAAGCATTCCCAACGGATTTCAAGAAAAATTGCACCCATGAACCGAACAACACAGTCTGTGAAATTAACCTCTCTGTCCCGAGACCTTCAGAGCGCAAGGCAGATAGTTTAACCACATCACCACAAGTATAAGTATTCTCAACCATCACATTTAGTGTGACACTGTTTAAACTGCCATGTTTCTTCTGATAGTCCATGTGGTTTCTTCGGTAGTCATCTTTATCCACAATCCTCTGTCTCATGTTGTATCAGACAGTTCTGACACAGGTGGTTTTCCATGCAATGATGTCAAACTGTTCAGCATCTTCCCTATGCCTCTTTTCTTCTTAAACTTTACTACCACCAATTATGTACTGCAGTTTTCTCCTTCTCATGACATTACCAAAGAATGTAGATTGTAACCTTCTGATGGGGGCAGACAGGTCTTCTCATGAGTCAGTTTCTTTAAGACATCTTCTTTACTCTTTTTTTATCTGTGCAGGGTATTCTCATCATTCGCTCATAAAACATAACTGCTTCCAAACAATTTTTCACTATCGTCCAACTGCCCATAATTCACTTCTGTAAATCGGGGTAGGATTTATATCACTTTTTGTAATTCTCTTTTTCGTCTCAGTTGAAAAAAAAAAGATTGCATGGAATATTAAAGTGCCATGCAACAAACATAAATTATGCATCTTCATTTCAGGTTTTTTGGAGTAGAAAAGAAAATAATCTTTTGGCTCTTCGTGATATTTGTAGACATCTTCTTTCTTGTGCTGGCTGTAGTTTCTTTTGCTTAGCGTCTAGTAGCTTGCCCAGAGTGTCACATTATGCACAAACTCTGTAGCCCCAGCAAGTATACACAGAGATCTTAGACAATACACTCGTAAACTGAACAGTGCAGTCTGTGAAATGGACCCCCATGACCTTCATAGCATGAGCCAAGTGGTTTAACCACAATTTGAAGTATTTTCAACAATTGCATTTAGTTTGACAATGTTTTATACTGCCGTGCAATAAACATTCATTGCACACCTTCTTCAGTGGAATCATCTCAGGTTTATCGGTGGTAGGAAAGAATATACCCGTTGGGCTCATCATGATATTCGTGGGCATATTCTTTGGCGTGCTGGCTGTAGTCTCTTTTGCCATCCTTATCAAGGTAGAATGTTGAAATATCTGTTGTGGGTGAAGCCATTGCATGGTTGTTGTGTTTTTTTCCCTGAGTAGATGGTGTAACCTTTTTGGCTAGTTTATTTTGCATTTCAGTTTGGTTTTTCTGTGTCTTTTTTACTTTTGTGTTCTGGTGCACGGTTTTTTTCTGGCATGCTTGTTTGCTAGTTTGTTGTTGTTGTTGGAAGGTTGCTTTGGTTTCTTTTATTTTTATGCTAGTAGCATTTATGGTTTAAAAAAAAAATTCAGTTCTGTTGATCCTCAGATGAATACAGATGGGATCACATCTTTAAAATTAGGTCATTAGAAATTGCATGATTGCAAGGCATATACACATATTATTTTCTACATGGATTTTGAAAACAAAAAATTGTTTTAACTTCTAATTTTCAACAGCCATTAAAGAAAGAGAAAGTAATCGTATGGACCTTTCCCCCTCTGCTGTTTATCTGCAGGTGAAGTTAGGCCCTCAGTCAGTTCATTCCAGGTCTTCTAATCTTTTCTCATTACTCTGTATCCTCCCCATATTATTAACCTCTGACTTGTAGGTATTCCTTTGTATCTGTTGCCCTGTGAGTTTCTGAAAAAGAACCTTCTAATTATACTATTAACAGGCTTCCTCAGTGTGTGACCTGTCCAGTTCCTTTATCTTTAACTAACTTTAGATTTTCTGGAGTGCAATTGCATCTTACGTTAGATTTATCTGTCATACCATTTTAGTTCTTCTGTACCAGTTAGCCAATGCCTATAGCTTATTACTAATTATTTTAGTAGATCTCCAGGTTTTTAATCCCTGTAACAGTGCTGATTTAACATTCTTCTTATTCTTGTAGTCCATGCCATGTAGCGTTGGTAGTCGTGTCTGTCCACAACCTTTTGTCTCATGTACTGTCTGTCAGTTCTGACACAGATGATCTCCCATGCCATGATGTCAGACTATGCAGCATTTTCTGTCTCGGTCTCCCTCCGCCAATTTTCCCTTTCAACTTTTCTATCGTTAGATATACTTCAGTTTTCTCCATCTCCTGGCATAACCAAATAATATCGATTGTCTTTTTCTGATGTGTAATCGGTTCTCTTGGTGAGTCAGTTTCTTTCAAGACATCTTCATTACTCACTCTTTTTATCTGTCCAGGGTATTCTCATTGTTTGTCTATAAAAAGAACATCTCTGCTGCTTTAAAATATTTTTTTGTTTTTGGTGTTTTGTTACTCATCGTCTGACTGTCTATGATTTTACATTAGAGGTACATATTTTGAATTTGGTACTAGATTTTATTTTTCTGATTTTCACAAAATTCCTAGTGTTTTGAAAACTCTTCTTGACTTTATTATTCATTATGAATATGCTGATTACAGTGTGTTTCTTAGTCATCATACCTTCTTTTGGATATCCTAATATTGTTGTCATTTAGTATATAATTGCACTGACCCTTTGTTACCTTGTTTCTAATTCTGAATCTGTTCTTTTTATTGCAGTGTATATGTGTAGTATGTGCTTTTGTAAAATGTTTACATATCATGTATATTGCTTTGGGCGTTGTGGTATTTAATTTCTGCTACGTGGATATGTTTTTTAAATTGTTCTATGTATGCAGAGGTTGGATTAACGGGATCAAGACAGTGACAGATAATCCATCTGCAGGAGCTGTCATGCTTATAGTAGCTTTTTTCTTCTCTGTGGAGGCTGCTTTCTCGTTTTTTTTGCTGGTTAAGGTAGGCCAGTTTATTTCTGTTGACACTAATAAACTGTCTTATTTTTTTTTTCACTCAGCATGTAAAATTGTAACTGGAAGAAAAATGTAACATCATAATTCTGATAAAAGTATAAAATATTAATGATTAACATATTTTGAATTAACATCCTAATTATGAGAATATATTTAGGAAATTATTGACATGAATTTGTTACAGTAACTAATATTTTTTAATGTTTAATATTTGACCCTGTTATGAACATTAGCAGCATAAAGATTAAATGACAAGAATAAATCGTCACAATTAAGATCATGATTATTAATAACGGGACATTTCTGTTAGACTTAACATTATAATTGTTGATAGTTAATAATACTAATGTGTTCAGGTACTTACAGTAAAACCTAGTTTACATAAATTTCAAGTGATCGAAAAATCAAGAGTTGTGTTAAAAGATTCATGCTAACCAGTGATTTATAGAAGTTTGGTGAATAGTATATCCCTTCTGGGGACAAACAGATTTCTTGTTGACTGACTGTTCATTTGAAGCAAGTTTGTGTTAGCAAGATTTTATTGTATATTTTCATATTGTATCTTAAGATGTAGTGTTGTAATATTTTAATACAGCTAACTAATGCAAATTTAGTTGCTTTCTACGTTTGTGTGTTTAAAATGTGTTTACATAGTCTGTCATTTATTCAGTCATTATAATTATTAAATGTAACACAGGACCTGTGTTCATCTCTGTTAATTATTTAAGGTAATAAACTTGCATTTATGAGTGGTTGAGCTGGTCACTTCTCTTGTCACTAATTGCTGATCTACTGTGAAGAACTGCTAAGTTAATTCTAGTAATCTGTCCATGTTACAGTTATAAAACATTTAGTTTTATGAACAATAATAGTGTACATTTGAACAAAGAAGACACAATCAATAGATTGCACAATTTATTGCCTGCTATAGTTTGCTGGATCTGCTCATGGATAATTTTCACTTGGAACCCTTGGATGTTATAATCCCCCTGATATATTTCTGGATCTGCTTTGGAATAATTTTAACATGGAGCCCTTGGATGTTTTAATCCTCTTGATATATTTATGGATCTGCTTATGGGTGACCTTCGCATGGAACTTTTAAATGTCATAATCCTCCTTTGTTTGAAGTTAGTGAATCGGATGCCTAGTTTTCTCAAATAATAGTGGAATCAATAGCAAGTTCTTCTTTGTGTGGTTTCCGGGGCCCTAATATAGGGGAAAACAAAAAAAGACCCACTGCCTACCCAAAAGCATATCGTATGAGTCGACTAATTGGAGCTTTTTTCAAAGTCGGAGTGCATCTGCCTGAGAGGCAAGGAACCAGCAGTCTGTATACAAATGAATCAGATCTGTAAAACCGAGACACGCTCAACACTCAGGTTTTGGAACAGGACTGCAGTCCAAAAGTGGATGAACAAACATAACTTTCCGCCAGTTTACAGCTGGTGAACGCAAAGAGGAAGAAGAAGAAAGCAAGTTCTATGTTTGTGTGTCTGTGTGCCCCATCTGTAAAAGATCACTTAACTGTCATTTGGTTAGTTTGTTGCATATCCTTTACAGGACATAGCGGAACCAAGCCAAAAATTGTTTTGACTGTTTGATTTTACTAGACAGTTTTATGTCAGTAGTTTGCCATTGCTTACTGAAAGATCGGCTCTCGATGTTGTTGTTGAATTCAGCGCGAAGCAGTCAGCTACTAAATTTCTCAAAATGTACTCAGATTGAGTGTTTCAAAGTTACGAAATGCTTTCCCAGTGCCGAAGCCTCAGACACTGACCAGTAAGAAATAAGCATAGGTATCTTTAGATATGCACTTGCCTGCTGGCCTGAAGATCTTTGGTTCGAATTCACGTTGAGATAAATAAAGATGGAGTAAATAGCAATTATTTTTTTTTCCATTTCTCAAAGAAGTCCTTGACCCTATTGTTTGAAGATAAGAAAAATTGCCTAAAATAGAATATTTATATTTTTAAAGGTAATACCTTTTGTCCATGCCTGTTGAGTATATAGTGCTAATCCCATAGTTTTATAGACCAGTCGGTACTTAATGATTGATATGGATAGACCATTCAGTACTTCATGATTGATATGGATAGACTAGTCAGTAGTTAATGATTAATATGGATAGACTAGTCGGTACTTAATGATTGATATAGATAGACCAGTCAGTACTTCATGATTGATATGGATAGACTAGTCAGTAGTTAATGATTGATATGGATAGACTAGTCGGTACTTAATGATTGATATGGATAGACCAGTTGGTACTTAATGATTGATATGGATAGACTAGTCGGTACTTAATGATTGATATGGATAGACTAGTCGGTACTTAATGATTGATATGGATAGACTAGTCGGTACTTAATGATTGATATGGATAGACTAGTCGGTACTTAATGATTGATATGGATAGACTAGTCGGTACTTAATGATTGATATGGATAGACTAGTCGGTACTTAATGATTGATATGGATAGACCAGTTGGTACTTAATGATTGATATGGATAGACCAGTTGGTACTTAATGATTGATATGGATAGACCAGTTGGTACTTAATGATTGATATGGATAGACCAGTTGGTACTTAATGATTGATATGGAAAGACTAGTTGGTAGTTAATGATTGATATGGATAGACCAGTCGGTAGTTAATGATTGATATATATAGACCAGTCAGTAGTTAATGGTTGATATGGATAGACCAGTCGGTACTTAATGATTGATACGGATAGACCAGTCAGTACTTAATGATTGATATGGATAGACCAGTTGGTACTTATTGATTGATATGGATAGACTAGTCGGTAGTTAATGATTGATATGGATAGACCAGTCGGTGCTTAATAATTGATATGGATAGACTGGTCGGTAGTTAATGATTGAAATGGATAGACCAGTCGGTACTTAATGATTGATATGGATAGACCAGTCAGTACTTAATTATTGATATGGATAGACCAGTCAGTACTTAATGATTGATATGGATAGACCAGTCAGTACTTAATGATTGATATGGATAGACCAGTCAGTACTTAATGATTGATATGGATAGACCAGTCAGTACTTAATGATTAATGATTGATATGGATAGACTAGTCAGTACTTAATGATTGATATGGATAGACCAGTTGGTACTTAATGATTGATATAGATAGACCAATTGGTACTTAATGATTGATATGGATAGACCAGTCAGTACTTAATGATTGATATGGATACACCAGTCAGTAATTAATGAGTGATTTGGATAGACCAGTCAGTACTTAATGAGTGATATGGATAGACCAGTCGGTAGTTAGTGATTTGAATAGACCAGTCAGTACTTAATGAGTGATATGGATAGACCAGTCAGTACTTAATGAGTGATTTGGATAGACCAGTCTGTACTTAATGAGTGATATGGATATACCAGTCTGTACTTACTGATTTGAATAGACCAGTCAGTACTTAATGAGTGATTTGGATAGACCAGTCTGTACTTAATGAGTGATATGGATATACCAGTCTGTACTTAGTGATTTGAATAGACCAGTCAGTACTTAATGAGTGATATGGATAGACCAATGGGTATTAAACGAGTGATGTGGATAGACCAGTCAGTACTTAATGAGGGATGGGGATAGACCAGCTGGTACTTAATAAGTGATGAGAATAGACCAGTCCATACTTAATGAGTGATGTGGATAGTATGTTGCCAACCAGCTTTACTTTTAGAACATTTCCTGGTGTCCATTTCCAGCTAAGCCAACCTTCAAGACCACGTTGGTTTGAAAATCTGCATTTATGAGTGTTTGAACTTATGGCCGCCACCATCCTAGTAGACAAACATGCTAACTACTGGCCTTCATTGCTCTCTGTAAACATAAAAAAAAATCAGTAATCAGTTATATTCAATCTCGCCAGATGGTATCATCTGATGAGCGCTGATGTTTGGCTTAGAGTTTAGTAAATTTGGTTAACAATTTCATGATCCTCATGTACTAGGGTTCACTCCCTGAGGTAAACAATATTAAAAAAAAATTAAACTGTTTTCCGGATTTCTAGAAAATGATACGAGAGTCATGCCAAGGAAGAGGTTGGCACCTCCCCAAATAATATTCCCAAAGACAACAGTGGTAAACTGTAGCCAGCCTTCATTGTGGAGACAGCACAGCATTTATTATTATCATCATCTGATAACAGATGCCACACAGAGATGAAAATCATTTCTATATTCCAAGATTACCCTTTACATGTAATAGAAATTCCGTGGAGGAGCAAGCTCAAAAGTAGTTAACATGGTTAAATATTGTCATATGTTAAGTTCTTGAATTATAATACAGTTTTATTAATTAAAATTTCAAAAGATTATATGTACACATATCTCACTGAATACTATTTGAGAATGCATTATGAGTAGGATTTTCTTTACCTCATGAAATGTTACTTGTGATTTCCCTCCGGCAGGTGCATCGTATCTACCGCAGCACAGGGGCTAGCTTCCAGAAGGCACAGGCTGAATTTGCCTCCGGCGTGATGAAGAATGAGGCTGTCCGAGGAGCAGCATCTGATGCTGCAGCAGGTGCTGCGAGGACTGCGGTGTCCGGATACACCAGCAGTGAGAGCCGATACTAAAGACGGCATGCTGTCTCAAGGCTTGGCTGGATCACATGCAGCTTTGAAATGCGAGCAGTTTTATGTGGTGTGTTTGGTACCACCAGTCTGGATAGGTGTTGAACAACAGGCCCTTTTTCAATTGTTCTGGTGTTGTTACTGATGTATCATAGCTCTACTTTTTTTCTTTTTCTTTTTTGATGGGGCAACTAATGAGGGTGTAGTTACATTAGTTTGTGAGAATATTTGTAGCTAGAGCTGAGCAAACCAGTGAGTGATTATTTTCCACGGTGGCTGAAATTATTTGCAAATCATATAGTGTCATTTACATTTTATCTTTCTTTCTTTCTTTTCCTTTTTGTTCTTCATGTTTTCATCTGTGTGTTTGATTCTGTGAGTAGCATAAGTATTTGTTGTCAAGTTTTGTATACGTGTTGACCGGGTGTCATAGCAATGAATACAATGTATGTAGCTCACAGTTAAAATTTATCACCAGAATCAGTTTAAAAAAATAATATTTGTACTTGCTTAAGCAACCGTATTTGTGATGCATTCCAGTTTTAACAGACCTTTACTTCATTTTCATCCTAATTTATAATTATGTTTATTAGGGCAAGTTCTGTAATGTTCTTTGATAATTTCATATGATCCTGTATGTGTTCCCAGATCATGTTGAAGCTCATACAAAATAAATGTAATGGAACATACTGTTTCATGGCACAGAAAATGTCAGTTGGCTTTTTTGCATATGGTGACATGCACGCATGCACACACGAGCACACACACACACGAGCACAATATGTGTGTAACACATACAGGGACATTACAAATTAGATAGTTTGAAAAATTGTTTAGGAAACCAAAATTGTGGAGAAACTCTTAACTTGTTAGCTCAGATTTCCAAACTTTCTTTGCATATCCCGTCCATTGCTTGTGTCAGTATCTTAACTTTTCTTGGTCTAAAAAAAAATTGAAATAATTACCCTAAAGGACAATATGAGTTAAAATAAAGTAATAGAACAGAGGTAATTAGAAGAAATAGATGTGATAGTAAATAATAAAATAAATAATCGTAGAATAATAGTTCAGTAATAGGTTCGTGTGTGGGTTTCGAGACCCTAATTGCGGGAGGGAGGGGGAGGGGGGGGGGGGAATCAATGCTCTCTTAACAAACATGTCCTAAAAGTTGACTAATCAAGGATATTGCCTCTCAAGTCTGAGATGAAGTGGAAATTGATAAAAATATTTTTTTTAAAGTAAAATAACTAAAGTAATAGAATGGATGAATATAATGGCTGAATGAATAATGAGTTAACAGGTAAATACACAAGGAGTTGCTGGGTACTGAAAGAATTCAGCAGTGTTCGTTAACAGTATGTTGACACTGTTTCATTTGTAGTAGCTGTGGTAAACAAGACAGTATGTATGAATTGTCAGCCCACCAGTCGGGATTCCAACTGCGTGACAAACAGGTCCCACCCGTAATTACTCTGTTCCTGTGCCACACAGAATTCCCATACAGTCGCATATAAAAGTCAGACCAACTGCAGTCCCAGGAAAATCCAACAGCTTGTAATGTATAATGTTTGTATATGCATTCAAGAAATGCAGAGTAATGTTTGGACAGCTGCTGGTAGCAAGCAACAGCTATGAAAGAAAGATGACAACACATTTGGTTCATTCTGAGAGGAAGCATAAAACAGTAGACTAGGAAAATCAATGAGGAAATTAAGGAAGTGGGGTCATCCAAGAGAAAACTTATGATGAATACTGATGAGAGTGACTGGGAAGATGCTGGACTAGTTTTCATGTAAAAAAACATTGCATGGGATAGAATGGAATGAAGGGATCGACTGTGAGCTCTGTGAGGTATATAATCACCACAGTAAGATATTGACTGTGTTCGTATGCTGTTTAAAAAAATCATAGTTATTTGAAATGAAAATGAAAAAATATATATATATATATATAAAAATATAAAATGTGCAAACACTGCAAGTTCAAATCATGTTATAAACACTCTGTATATTATCTGTTTTTAGGAAGCTAAAAACAAATGGTTTAAATGCTTACTTTACAACTAAAATAGAACTTGGTTGAACTGACGTATGTTTATTTTGTCAGCGTAGCATAAGTAAAAAGTCAGTGACAATCTGAGTGTAATTTGTTTTTTTGTTATAAAGAACTATGTGATCCTTATATGTATATATTATATTAGTGTCTGTGTGTATGTATGTATATATATTTATATATATTTATACGTACATTCATATATACACACTAACAGTCTTTGTTGCTTTTGTTTTTTTGTGTGTGAGGATGTTATGTGACTTGTCAGTCTGTCTTGTGCAGTCTCTTGTAAATATCCCCAAAAGACTTATATTGAACACCTTCCATCTGAAATTGTCATCCTAAATCTGATATGAAAATCCATGTTTTAAATGAGTATGTGAATTTTGAGGATAGAGTATAGTCTGAAGTTATTAGATTGATGGAGAGAGAGAAGACAAGGGGAAGGTAGGGATAAATGCCTGGATGGCTTAGCCAAATTGAATGTGGCTAGACAAAGAAATGATCTCTTACTCAGTCTTTGAAGAAAAAAATTGGAGCTTTTGAACTGAAATGCTACAGACAAATTCTTAGACTGATGTTGACCAAGAAAAAAAAAATGCTGCACGTCCTGCATGACCTAAACATCGAGGAGAGCTGGCTCATAAACAGCATCCTGTCCCAGAAGCTGAAGTATTATGGCCTTGTGAAGCCCCATGGTGATCTGGAGAGAACGGTAATGGAGGGTGGAAAATGAGACAGAAGATCTCCATAAATGTGGGTACAGGACGTTAAAGAAGTTGACCTCCATGAATGTGGATACGGGACGTTGAAGATGCATTTGCTACAAAAGCACACATGGCTGGAGAATTGGCTAGAGGTAGAGAGACTTTCAGATGTGCTGTGATGAGAGCAACGTTTTGTGTAGGACCTCCTGGTTAATTGATTGACTTCACTTGTAGATGCCTAATTGTTGTCATCCCTACAAGTTTATATATAATTATTAGTAAGCTGACTTTTCACAACATAAAATTAGATGGGAGATATTTTTCTGATTTCTTTTCAATACAGGTTTTGCATTTTTCCTTTTCTTCATAAAGGTATGTTTTCAAATACTTGCAAATACTTTGACATTTTTTCTTTATCGCCATGACCTTTTTTCTCAACAACAACAAAAATATAAGTTCACATTTGACTCTCTTTGAAGTCAAAGCAATATTTCACTGTTGTGAATTTGAACAAAGAAGACACTGGCAAATTTTGCTGTATCTTGTCAGGTGTATACTACATTAAAAATGGATTAAAATGAAGCAATAAATGAATCTTTAGAACTGAAAGACAAAATCGACTACATTAACAAACTGTCTGTTTCACCAGGGTAACAGCAAGGTGAAGAGCGTGTCTTTTTGTCTGCAAAACCCGGGTTTAAACTGGCTGAAAGCTGATGCTTCAGCAAATCTAAGTAATCTGTGGTCGGCCGAATTGTAATAATTCGAAATGCATCATCCTTGTTTACAGTGTGCTCAGAATTTAGAATATGGCTCACAATTGTTGATGATGGATTTTGTTAACCAGTCACCTAATTCGCTGTTGTTGAGTTGTTAGTGTTTTGCATTGCTTTCACCACCCACAGTGGAATATGTTCAGCAACCCATTTGCCCAGTCTTCGATCAGTTCTGCCCACATATGCAGCATTACAGGTGCATTCAAATTGGTAAATACAGATAGTTATGGCATAGGTCGACAATGGTTCTTTCGCTGGTCTTATAGGAATTACAGCGGTTTTAAATCTGATAACACGCATGGCTACGTAAAATGTCTGACTGACTGCTTTTTTTAGCCAGTCATATAAGCGTTGCATAATATAATCCCCCCAAAATATTAGATAGATATAAACTTTAGGGGGAGGGGGGGCACCGACATTTCTATGGTAGTTGGTTTGAGCAGCGGGCAGTGGCGCTTAATAAAACCACCAGATTCATTTTAATCAGTTGTTACTGTAGTATGCATCTGGCGAGATACAGCAAAAAATGACAGGCAATTGTGCAATCTAATGTTTGTGTCTTCTTTGTTCCAACTCTCCTTAAAGTGCTTTGTTTATCTAGTCTGATATTTATTGCATTGCTTTCTGATTTTCCAAATTGTATTAAAGTTTATTATTGACACACATGCCGTATCATATAAAAATTTTGCCTTATTCTTCTTTTGTCTCTTGGTTGCCAAAGAAGTTTGGGCTGCCTCAAAACTATCTCGTTAAAAATCTTTTCAGGAATATGTATCTTATAGGAATTTATTTTTGGCTGGATATTTTATTCCTAATGATAATTATCCCCCACAACCACCCTTAGAATATAATGGTTCTGTGTAATGTTTTTGTTTTAATTATTATATAATCTTTCTGTCTCCGACATACACACTTATTGCATATACACATATATATATATATATATTTGTCACCCAGATTATGACTGGTTATAGAAGAATTTCACCAAAGGGAGTTTCTAGTTGTGAGATTAGTGTTTTGGTTTGTTTCATTTGCCTTCTGTACTTATATGCAATAGTACATCAGTTGCAGTCAAATAATAGCCTTTGCTATTCTTAGAAATTTTTTTTAATGCATATATTCCTACTGTATATTTATGGCACAGTCAGAACTTTACTAATCAGCTGGTATATTCTTGAGAAATAAACTTGAGAACTTAGTGACAGTTAGCAAACTTGATGGGAAAAGAGTAAAGGAAAGACAAAAGACATAAATACCTGCATGGCTAGATGACATATTACAGGAGGAGCAAGAACCTGATTTGTGATTCTAGTGGTTATTTGAGATGTCAAACAATGACCAACTATGCATATCATCATCAGTTCTCGTTATGCCTAGTGGCACATGATTCTTCAGAGAGGACTTTCCATGCTTTCCTGTCCTGTGCAATCTTCAGTGCAGTTTTCCATGTCAAAGATGCCACACTCAG